TACACTTGCAAGGAGTTCCCTTTATGGCTTCAGATCTCTCTTTAAGGTTCTCCCTTTGCATTCTTCATTTTCGTACCAAGATTCAAATTTTGCTTTTTGGGTTTCTCTATTTTTGCCTTGTTTCTTTGATCATGTTAAAAAGATTTCATCTTTCCAATTTGTGGGTATTTTTAAGGGAGTAATGTTCATCTGTTATCTTAGGGCTAGATTGACATTGTAAAAGTTGCTCATTTACATGCTTTATATGATCAGTTGGTTGATTTGATGTAGAGTTAATATGTAAAATGGGATTATAAGGAAATTATATTGTTGGTCTTAGGGTAATTATGTGCCATCTACGAGGAGCATGTCCACTGCTGCAGCTGTGGGCGTTGAAGCCAAGGAGGGATTGAAGCTACTTGTAACTGGAGGTCCTCGAGCTCAGAAAATGGTTGGGATATGGCTTTTTGGCTCTGCTGCTTGGGTGTTTAGTATGGTGGTGCTTGGTGGCATCACTCGACTAACACGATCTGGTCTTTCAATGACTGACTGGAAATTCACTGGTGGCCTCCCTCCTCTATCAGATGAGGAATGGTTGCAGGAGTTTGAGAAATATAAGCAGTCACCTGAATATAAGCGGTAAGTGTCAAGTATAGTACATTTTGGATTTTTGTAAGCATTTGAATTCTCTGCGAGCTTGTGGTTAGAAATTAAAATTTAGTTTCTGTTATAACTCCTGTAGGAACTGCTAAATGTTTTAAAGTTACATAATCCATTGTAGTTACTCATTGAACAAGATACCTTTGTAAGCATTTTAATTTTGGCTGTGTTTTCTTTGGTATATATCATATGTTTGTTGCATTTGTTCCATGGGATGAGTTTGACACCGTTGAAGTTACTACATTGTAGATTGGAGGAATTACTGTGTAAAATTTAGTGATGTTGCTTGTTTTTTGACCTCTGGCAGTGTAAACAAAGGGATGAGTATTGAAGATTTCAAATTTATTTATTGGATGGAATATGTGCACCGTATGTGGGGAAGGGGATTGGGTATCATTTTTGCTCTGCCATTTTCATATTTTCTTCGTAAGGGATATATTACCTTACGACTTGGACTGAGACTGTCTACTCTTTTTGCCCTTGGTGCTGGTCAGGGACTAATTGGGTGGTGGATGGTTAAAAGTGGTTTGGAGGTGAGAAGCTGTTCTATTTGTTCTTCCTTTATCTACCCTACGATTTCTTTTCCTTTTAAGTTTACATTCTGGTTTTTCAGAAGTATTTTAAACCTTGAATATTGTCTTTTGTAGGAGCCACCCTCTGAATATTCTCAGCCTAGAGTGAGCCCTTACCGTCTTGCAGCCCATCTTACTTCTGCGTTTGTCATCTACAGTGGCCTCTTTTGGACTGCTCTTTCTGTTGTTATGCCTGAACCACCTGCAGAATCAGTTGCTTGGGTTCATGGGGCAGCAAAAGTGAAAAAACTTGCCCTTCCTGTGAGCATCATCGTAGGCATCACAGCTGTCTCAGGAGCTTTTGTTGCAGGAAATGATGCTGTATGTTACTATAATCGGTTGTCTTTTTTTTCTGGTCTTTTTTATGAACCTAGTAAATAGCATAAATTTCCTGCTTAGAAACAACTGAAAATTATGCTTCTGTGATCATTTTCCAGGGCCATGCTTTTAATACTTTTCCAAAGATGGGGGATACATGGATTCCTGATGACGTGCTTGATATGAAGCCACTTATTCGCAACTTCTTTGAAAATACATCTACTGTTCAGGTAATTCTTTTTGCTAAGATTTCATATTATTTTTTAGCAATTGAATTTCTTGACTTTGTTGATATTTGTATCAATTGCTATTTGCTGAGGCTGAGTTGATTTGGCAGAAATGGGAATTGAACTAAAATTACATTTGGGAGGGGGAAAAAAAGGGAAGAGTATCTCACTTAAAACCTCTACTTGCCGCATAAACATCTACATGAAGGAAAAAAAATTCATTTTAGTGCTGCTTGTCATCTTCTTTAGTTTTTTGCCTGGAGAAACTGTCAACTCAATTTATTACATAAATTGTTCAAAGCCGGCCTTTAAAGAAGAAATGTGCCTTTATTAAATACTGCAATATGCTTATACAAGAAATCACTTTAATACATGTTTATATAATCGTAAATTTTGAGATACTAGACTTGCTTTTTAGATATTGAAAATTTCGTAGATGATCACCCTGAACATAAGATGAAAATTTTCATCACTACCACTTTGATTATGATGAACAACACTATTCATTTTTAATATGTACAGCTTGACCACCGTATCCTTGCCACAACCTCCTTATTTGCAATTAGTGCTTTATGGTTGTCAACAAGAAAGCTGGATATACATCCTGCTGTCAAATCTTTGATTGGAACCACATTTGGCATGGCTGCTCTTCAGGTGATTGTTCAGTCTCTCTTTACACTTGTTTATCAAATGCCTTCGTGATTCTATTATTTCACAAGCAGAGACTTTTTATTCTAAATTAAACCAGGACATGCTTATTTCTGTTTGTTAAATGTGTTGTTGGAATCATTGCAGGTGACCTTAGGGATTTCAACGCTTCTCTCATATGTCCCTGTTTCACTCGGCTCTGCACATCAGGCTGGAGCTTTGACTCTTCTGACCTTTATGATCTTGCTCAATCACACTGTACGAAGGCCTTCAGCGTCTCTTCTTAAATCTCTCCCTCAAGTCGCAAAATCATTCTGATAGCTTCAGTTATAAGTTCAGAACTTATAAGTAGCAACAACATTGATTATTGGATACTCATAATATATTTTGACCTCCATTTTTCAAATTGGAATTTAATCCGATGCACTATTGAAAAGCAAAAAGCTTTTGTTGTGTTTCTTGTACTGGGAAAACTCATCCCTATTCTTTGTAATTTGAATGGTAATTGACATTTGAGGCTCTATGACTTAGCCAAGTAATAGCTTCAACCACCCATTTCCCTTGCAATAAAAGGTAACAGAAAATCCTGCCGTCATTTTGGTGTAACAGAAAATCCTGCCTTCATTTTGGTCTAGTGAAGAACTTCATGGTGAGGATACTTTCTGGGGAAATTGTTAAAAGTCAAAGTTTGTACTGTTGATGGCAACATGATGAACATGGTTCAGGGTCTAACTTTTACTTGACGTTTCTCATATCTTCCAGGATTTCGTGACATGTGAAACTAATTGTCTAATACAATTAATAGGGTTTAGGGTTGAATGCAATAGTTAAACTATCTCACTACAACAATATTCAATCTCCAACTATTTGGCTTGTGGTCGATGACCAGACATTAGATTGTCGAGAGGTCTTGTGTTTTAGTCTTACAAATAATCATCTACCACATAGACGACTTACTTGATTCATTGGGTTTGTAGAGTATTTAATAGATTGTTTTTCTGACTCATTAAGCTTGTAAAATATTTAATAGACTCAGAGATTAGTCAAAGTGTGTACGGGTTCAAATACCCGATAAAAGAAAAAAACAATATTCAATCTCTATCGATGTTGCATATGACTATTTATCAAATGCAGGGGAACGAAGACCAATCTAATAGCTACTAGAAAATCCCGCCTTCATTTTGGTCCAGTGAAGAATTTTATGGTGAGAATACTTTCTTGGGAAATTGTTAAAAGTCAAAGTTAGTATGTTGATGGCAACGTGATGAACATGGATCAGGGTCTAACTTTTACTTGACCTTTCTCAGATCTTCCAGGATTTACCGACATGTGAAACTAATACTATTAATAGGGTTTAGGGTTCAGTAAAGCAGTTGAACTATCTCACTACAATAATGAAAAATGTTACGGGTAACTACGTTTTGTATTGAATTTTTACATCGAATGACGTGTCTACTAAATTAGATGAGTCTTATATCACGTTAATAAATATTCTATGAATGAATGGTCGTATATCAAATATGGACTCCCGTCTATTTGATATGGACAATCGTCCACCTAGAATGGACGTCCATTCATAGTTTTAACTAAAAAAATTTGGTCTAAATTGTTTATGGACGCTCATCCTCTTATGAGAATGACCATCCATACGGACATCCATATTTTAATATTAACAAATTTTAAATTTATTTAATGCGTTAATTGTGAATCTTAATTGAGTTAGTACTATATTCTTATGACACTTGTCCAGTTACTTTGAATATAGACAAAAATTTAACGAAGCTTGCCCAATTACTTTGAATATTGACAAAAATTTAATGAAGATAACGACATTTACTTTTTGGATTGAGACTCAAATGTTGGTGTAAATTTTTTTGAATTAAACAATAGACAGACGTCTATCTAAAATGGCTATCTGTCCATTGAATATGGACGTCTGTCCATTATTTATTTATTTATTTTTTAATTTTAAACAATGGACGGGCGTTCATTCTAGGTGAATGTCAGTCCATAGTAAATGGACTCCTATCCAAAGTATAAGAACATAAGTCTATTGTTATTTTCTCATGGACGGACGTCCATTATAAGTGAACGAATGTCCAATAATCACGGATGCCCATTATGTTGCTTTTAAAATTTTTTGGACGGGCGTCCATCTTATATGAACGTCTCTCTATAGTAAGTAGACACCCGTCCATTTAAGATGGACGGGCATCTATTATTTTTCTTTTAAAATTTTTTAGATGAAGTAAATAGACATCCGTCTATATAATATGAATATAAGTCTATTAAATATAGATCAACGTCTATAAATATTGGACGATAATTTATTTATACAAGACTCTAGCATGATTGCATTGACTAATTACTATATAAACATTTGGTATAAAATTTCGGTGTCCCTAACATTACTCAATGTATCAAATGCAGGGAAACCAAGACCAGTCTAATAGCTACTACGTGTCTCAGCAACTGATCAACACACTGCAAACAGTATGCCACGTGCATAACATCAGTACATCACAGCTCTCATCTAAACAACACGTCTCCCTCTCTTTTACTTCCTATATACAACTTTTTCATCACCAAACCAGCAATGGAGTTTCAAACTCAAACTCGTCGTCGTCATCATCATCAAAACCGACACCACTTATCCAACACCTCCACCGCCACCAAAATGGTTTCTGCGACGGTGGCCGGTGCAGCACTTGGTGGACCGTTACTGGGAGTCATGGGGTTCAGTTTCTTGGCAACACTAACCCTCGTTTTTGTAACCTCGCCTCTGTTGCTGATCTTCAGTCCTTTGTTGCTATGTGCTGCGTTTGTCCTCGTCGGGGCCTTGACTGGGTTCGCTCTGGCCGCGGCTATGGCGTTTGCCGGCTTGTGTGCGTTGTCATGGAGTTCTAGGGAAGTTGTAAAGTGTTTAGAGTTTATTGGTGAGAGAGTGGAGGAGCATGGACGAGATTTTGGTGGCCATTTGCAACAAATAGTTCATGATGCTAACTCTCCTGAATACGCTAGATTAATTCCAGTTGAATAAGTTTTCCAATGGTGCCTTTTGCTGGGGTTACTCAAAATTTATATATATATATATATATATATATAAAATACAATATTGTAGTATGATATTGACGTCGTACCATAAGTTATAAAGAAAATCTTGCGTTTGGTTAAATATTTTTACCTATATTTCTAATCCTATTTCCCAAATCTTGTTTGACACATTATTCCATAAATATTAGTATATTTTTTTATTTTTTTTAATTAAAGTTTATTGATTTCACTAAATACCCTAAAAAAAGATTTAAAAATTAGCAAAAACATCTTCATCCACCATACTTACCAGATTCTAGTAACCACCGTGGTAACTAGAATCTGTCCCTACGGCTTACACCACGATCGGAACAGGTCGGTTATTTACCGATTTGGCCTTTAGTGATGGCCAAAGAAATGGCTGTCGTTGATGGTTAACGACATCCAAATCTTGACCATCGTTGACCGAAAACGATGACTATATTTTTGACAGTCATTGACGGCCAAATATGGACCTTTGCGACCGTCGATGGCCACATTTGGTCGTAGATCTGACCAAAAAATATCATATCGATGCGTTATGACACAGTTCTGACCTGTCTGTGTCGTAACGCAATTTTTCGGCTAGATTCCGGTGGTGGTGGCCAGCATCTGGCACTGCGGGTGGTGGGAGTGTTTTTGTCATTTTATATATTAAGGTATTTAATTAAATTAGTAAACTTAGGGGCTTTTTTATAAATTTTTAAATTTTACCTCGTAATACTCCCTTATTCAACTACCTAATATTATTCATAAAATCCTATCCAAAATAATGAATCAAATGCAATTACTGTATAATTTTTTTCCGATGATCGTGGTGTCCAGGTTTCTTTACGCACATCTTAATTAATCTTTCGGAATTTTTTAGAATTCTAGAATTATCGGCCAAAAAAGAGTTCCAGTGACTATCTCTATTAGCAATCGAGAAGAGATACTCGAATTCAAGATTTTTTGAATAATACAACTAATAGTCCTTATCGAATCACTCGATCACTCAGAGGTAATAAAAAAAAAAATGTATTAAACATTGCATGTATGTCAAGTAGTTTTATAAGATTGTTGAAAATGCACATTTTCTGATAACATATGTTATATTTGATAACAAAAAAAATGTATAGAAGATTTCCTTTCGTTAATATAATTTATTTTATTTATATGCAATGAAAAGTGCATTTTATATTATTTAATTTCGTATTAATATAAATTAAGTTATGTGTCATTCTCCACCTTTGTTGTTGGTGCTCTTATATGTGTACCATTTAAGTTCATATATATATTATCCACTTTGTAATTGATTTTATCCCCCAAATAATTTATAACCTAATTACTACTTATTTTAATAGATTTTGCCTTAGTCCTCTCTTGTGAGTGACGGTCGGCAACTTTGTGTGAGTTCTCGTTAATTAAATCTTAGTTTATTTGATCACTAAACTTCAAGATTAATTACTGTCACGACCTTATTCAGATCGGACGGTATTAAAGCTTTTAAAATAATTATTTGACTTATTCTTTGATGTTTCTAGTTCTGAGTCAAGTTTAGGTTAAGCCTTCAAAGTTGGACATCGGTCCAACTAATCGGATATCTCTAAAAGCTGAAAATCCCATATACCTAACTTATAATCTTCAAGAAGTGATGGTGCCTTTTTGTCTTGTGGAATTTATCTTTGCTTCTAGACATCATATTTGAATTATTCCATTATCTATAAGATGCTTAAAAGAAAATTGTGTTGGAATAATATATATTTGAATGATATATTTATATATTCTTATTCGATTGAGCTGTAAATTTATGACAAGAAATTATTTATATTACTAATAAGATGAAAAAGCTACAATAATTAATTAGTGATTTATAGTATTTATCTTCTTGGATGAAATCGTATAACAAATTAGTTTTATATGTTGTCACATATATATTGTGCCTTTTTTCTTTCATATTAAATCATTAACATAATTTATTAATAACCCAGTATTTATTATTTCTCGTATATAATAATAATACATTATTACAATGCAAAAATATTTTGATTAAAAAATAAACAAATAAAATAAAATAAAACAGGCCTCCTTTGTCTCTTTCCACATCTGTAACTCTACATTTTTAACGTCAAAAATCATATCTTCAGCTACCCATTTCAATAAAACATGCCAAGTACTTCACATTAATTTTAATTTTAATATATACTTTAGAGAAATTAAATTTAAAAAAAAAAAAAAAACTGATACACAATTTTTCCCCACCCTATTTCCTATCCTATCCAAAGTACACATTTATTTCCTTATTTTAAAAAAGTCAAATATTATTCAATTCAATTTAAACCCCATAGGTTTGTTAATTTAACAAAACACCACTTAATTTTTTTTTAGAAATTGACAAAAACATCCTAGCAACCCACATTTATCAGATTCCGGCCACTACCACCAGAAGCTGGCCGGAATCTAGTATAATGGCGCACTACCAGTTGGATCTGGTTGGTAGTATGTTGATCTAACATTTTCCAGCTAGGTCCACGATCAAAGATCTGGCCGTAGCCAGTTGTCAACGATGGGTAAGATATGGCCATCGTTGATGTTGTTAACGACCAAATGCGGCCAGATCTGGTCATATCGGCGCACGAATGGCTAGATCCAGCCAGTCGTGTGCCGATACAGCGACTATGGCCACCCTCCAGGGTGGTGGCCGGCTATCGGTATTTAATGGGTGGGTGAGGGTGTTTTTGTTAATTTTTAATATTTTATTATAGAGGTGTTTAGTAAATAAACAAACCTAGGAGGATATTTTTATTAATTTCTAAATCCTACATCGTAATAACCATCCAGTTTTATTTTATTTTTTCAAAATATTAGTCTAAAAAGTATCTAAATAATGAATCAAGTGCACCCTTTATATTGTAGGTGGAGAAACATACAAAAAATTTTGTAATACATTTGTCTAAATTTTTTTTTTTAAATTTTCTAAATTAAAAATGCATATTTATAAGTGATTTTATAAAATCCATAAATTGGGATTGATTTATAATGTCTCAAGAGGTTGATATTTATATAAAAACCCCCCAAAAATGATATCGATCTTCAGTAAAATATTATTAATTTTATTGAAATCAACAATAAATTTATAACATTCAAAGATAAATTTGTAAAAAAAAAAAAAAAAAAAAAAGGACACACTAATTTTCCATTAGAGTCTAATTTTAGCAATAAAGTTTTAATATTTTGATACCAAATAAATAATGAATAATTTTAACGTGTATTCCAAAATTTATTTATTACGTCATAATATTAGTAAATGTAATAAATTATTTTCTTGTAATAAATATCTCTTTAAATACTTTTCTAAATTCTTATTCAGGAAACTGCCGCGAAGATCACTTTAAATAGACCGATAAATAAAAAAATACAAAAATAAAATCATTAAAATAGTTGAAACGAACTCACAGATCGGCTACGAATGCAAACAGCACAAACTTACATAGATTGGCTTGTCTTAGAATCGAAGTACTTTGGTTTTCTAATCATAGTAAACTTCTGTTTACACCCTTAAATCTGTCGAAGAAGAAGACGGCGAATTCTAAGTACTTTATCTTAAGATTCTTGTACGGTCATCTCACCAACTGCTTTTTTTGGTTTATTTTTTTGTAGGATACCCAGTTCTGCTTATGTTGAGGTTAGTTCTTTCGCAGATCTAATTTTGATAGTGGTTTTGATTTGAAGTTTTGGTTTTTTATGGTTGTTTTTGGTGCAAGATCTGATTTTTGGAGTTATTTAAAAATACCCAGATGGGGGATTTTAGTTGTGGGGAGTTTAGTTTGGTTTGAAGGCTAGTTTGATGCTGTTTGAGTGAGGTTTGAATGTGAAAGTTTTGATTTTGAAGTGTTTTGTGTAGGTGGCTGATGCTAGTTTTTGTTATGTTTTGAGTTTTGTAGAACCATGTTTTGTTGGTATTGAGAAAATTGCACAATGAGCACAAATTGATGGATTCGTTTAAGTTATCTTTCTGTTAATATAAGAAGAGATGGAGGTTAAGTTAAGATTGGAGGGAACGCAATCCAATCTTGAAGTAAGTTTCTTCATTGCTTGTTACTCGGTTTCTTTTAGATGATAATGTTTTATGACCATGATAGGATTGTTGAGACTGTATTTTTTATTGGTTGTAATCAATATATATTTTGTTATAGCAGATGGGTTCATTAGACGATAGATCAGTGAGTGACTTTGAGGATGAGAGTCTTTTTACTCCGGAAGCGGAATCTCAAAAGGCACAACCTGTTCTTGAATGTGAACATGAGCCTATTTCTTTGGCTTCAACATCTCGTGGAAATAAAAATTTGCGGAATGGCGTGTATAAGAGCATAAAGACTGTTGTTTTCTCGAATAAACTCAATTTGCTTATGCCTTTTGGGCCTTTGGCGATCATGGTTCATAACCTTACTGGTCATAAAGTGAGTTCAGTTGTTGATATTTGTGTATTGGATTGTTTGCTTATTGTTGCAAAAGTATGTTTTGGTTAATTTGTTGAGATGGATTCAGGGATGGGTCTTCTTTCTAAGCTTGCTGGGTATAACTCCTTTGGCAGAGCGTTTAGGTTATGCTACAGAGTAAGCTTTCATATTTCTCTATGTCAATTATTTTGTAAAGTTTTTGTTTGTTTAGTAGCTAATATGGCTTTCTCATTTTTTGATACAGGCAACTGGCCTTTTACACTGGTGCTACAGGTATAATTCTCATAGAGATTTAATGGGTAACTGATCAGTTGTAACTGTTGTTTTTGTCTTCTGAGTTAATCAGAGTATCTACTATTTTTTTATTAGTTTTCGGTCGGCAGATATGAAGTGCTTTCCTTGTGAAATAATGACAGTTTGAGCTTGAGAATACATAGTCAACTTGTGTGGATATAGGATTCATCTTTTTCAGCCATTTTTAATTAGAACTACAATAATTGGTATCTAGCTAAATTGTTGAGAAAAAAATAATCTTTCTGTCCTTTCCATTGTCTTTCTTCCTTCTTTCTGTGGCTAACTTCAATCAAAATCAAATGCGCAAAATTGAATTTAGGCATTTTTCTCATGCATTACTTGCGTTTTGCTTACCTGTGTTCCACTATCGCTCCAACTTATGAGTATATTCAATGGACTTTACAGTTGGGGGCCTTTTGAATGCTACATTTGGAAATGCAACGGAACTGATTATATCAATTTATGCTCTGAAAAGCGGTATGATACGTGTCGTTCAGCTCTCATTATTAGGCTCAATTTTGTCAAATATGTTGCTGGTGCTTGGATGTGCATTCTTTTGTGGCGGTCTTGTTATTCGGAATAAGGAACAGCGGTTTGATAAGGTAGATATGGAAGCATCTTATCCTGGTCCTTTTGGCCTATCATGTGCTTTTGAATTGCATCACTGAGCCAAGTTATCATGCAGGCATCTGCTGTTGTGAATTCGGGACTGTTATTGATGGCAGTCATGGGCCTGCTCTTTCCAGCTGTTCTTCACTACACACATACTGAGGTGCATTTTGGAAGGTCAGAGCTGGCTCTTTCAAGGTTTAGCAGTTGTGTTATGCTAGTGGCATATGTTGCCTATCTTGTTTTCCAATTAAAAGGTCAACGAGAGCCATATCTCCCTCTCACTGAGGTTGGTTACCACTTTTAATACAAACAAGTTTTACTTTTTCTTGTTTTGTCTGGAATAATTAGTGGTGTGATAATTGGTGTGAACTTAGGAAGAGAATCAGGCCACGGATGCTGCTGATCATGATGATGGCGGTGATGAAGAGCCAGAGATCTCAAAATGGGAATCAATTATTTGGCTTTTAATTATGACAGCTTGGATATCTTTCTTATCAGAGTATCTAGTCGATGCTATACAGGTGACATTTGGTTGGCTATATACTTTCCTTTGTTGATTAGAAATCTTGATTGTATCTTTCCTTACATGTAATTGAGCTGGTGCAAATAGATCTTACTGTTGATAAATTCATGTTAATTGGTGTTTCTCTGTGAAAGTTTAATAGGGGTTATACTTACAATCAAAGCTACTTTTGCAGTATGTGAAACTGCAATTGTCTGTTTCCAAGACTATCCTTGATACGCTTTCTCTGGTTATTCCTGTTTTGTAGGGAGCGTCGGTTGCATGGAGCATTCCAATTTCATTTATTAGTGTTATATTACTTCCAATTGTAGGGAATGCTGCAGAGCATGCAAGTGCTATCATGTTTGCCATGAAGGACAAACTTGTGAGCAGTTTCTCCATATCTTGCTCTAGCAATTCTTGATACTATTACAATGCCTTGTACTAATGTAAAATTTCTCTGCAGGACATATCTTTGGGAGTGGCAATAGGATCATCAACACAAATATCCATGTTTGGGGTAGGTTGCAAAGATCGGATTACCCTTTTGTTGTTTATTACTTCCATTTTGTTTTAGTTTTGCTTCATTTGGAATGGTACGTCTAAAAACTTTGGGTTATTGTCGTTGCCTCAGATTCCGTTTTGCGTGGTTATTGGATGGATAATGGGTCGCACTATGGACTTGAACTTTCAACTTTTTGAGACAGCAACTCTTTTCATAACTGTCATAGTCGTTGCCTTCTTTCTGCAGGTTAGTACCTTTTATACCAAGATCTAAATTATTAGTTTTTATACTTTTGGTAACATGTGTAGTTATATATTGAGTTTGTTTTCATCTTATGGTTGCCGTTCTGTTTGCAGGAAGGAACATCTAATTACTTTAAAGGACTTATGCTCATTCTTTGTTATCTGATAGTCGCTGCAAGTTTCTTTGTACATGAAGATTCTTCTTCCGAAGGTAAGCGTTAGATGAAATTTTACCTTTACTTGTTGGTAATCTCTTGTGCTTTTGAATCAAATTTTATCATTGTATGAACACATCCTTCATACCACTTTTGGAATGAATTTCAATGTTGCAGATGATAAGAAATTAAAAACGTAGTCAACGAAGCAATCTGTTGTAAGGCAAAAAAATTCCTGAAGCTTTGGTCATACATCACTGTGTATATAGACAGCTTTCAGCCGCACCATTTTCCAGGTGTGCCCTTGCCCCTTGTTCGGTCAATTGCGCAGGTGTCTTGATGTTTTTGTTCTTTATTGTATCAGTACCTGCTTTGATGCAACATGTATGTTTATGATGAGTAAGAAAATTGTGCATATTATAGAGAATAACAATTCATTTCTCTTCACAATGTAACTCTTCCTTTATTCTTTTGATTGGATTTCCATTCATTCCTTTCTCTGTTGTGTTCCTTAACTTCGCCATGCCGAGCTAACTCTATAAAGATCTGTTAAGATATCGCTCTAAATTCTGTTTAGATTTCCAGAGACTCCCCATCTAACTCTTAACTTTGTCGGTGATTGGGGAGGCGAATAGTGGAGGGGTGAGATGAGTTTTCGTCAGGAGGCTGAGGGGAGTGTTTTTGTGGTGATGGGGAGTGTTGTCGTTGTCGGAAACATACCCTATTTGTCGATGTCGACGAAGGTGTTTGGGGTGTTTTTGCAAGATTTCAAATCTATATGGATTTACATGTGATTTTCAGGGGTATTTTGTTAGATTTCAATTTTTTGGACAACGGTGTTTAAACCGGTCAACCTAGGACCTGGCCACTTTGCTGGGTTTCACGGGTTTTAAAACACTAGTTGAAACTCATTGATTTCCCGATCTAGGCAGGCTCTAGTCATCGAAGACAGGACGCATGACATCATGCGCGATGGTAGCCAAACATTAGCGAGGTTACTTAAATTTGTTAACAAAACTAATACAATAAAACTATGCTTATTCACAATTTTACTAACCTCTTACTATTCTATGTAAATATAACGGCATAGTACGGGTATGCATGGTACCTATACTATGCCGTTATATTTACACAAGATAGTAAGAGGTTAGTAAGATTGTGAGTACGCGTAACATTATTCAAACTAATATATATTTGCTACCAAATTCAAAAGCTATTATCCCGAATGCATATACTAATATCTCTTTAGAGATAACCAAGTCATCTAGTTTGCGAGTCTAATGTCTAAAATTAATCTGAATTTGGAACTTGGTAAAAGAATATGAGTTGCCATTCCTACTTTGGCTCTGCACAATGTGATAATATTGCGAGGATTATGCATTAAACGGCAAGATCATCTAACTTCAATGGTTTTAACTAGTGCCAGATTGCGCACACAATAACACTTTCCGAATTTGAAGCCATTAATTTTGTAACCATATATGAAATGATCACCAATCACTATTATCATATAAAATTTATTCAACTTTTCTGAATCCCTTAATCAAAATGGCCATTGAAAATCACCATTTCCTGTTTCTTGTTTCACAACTTGTTATCATTCCCCTCTTGTTTCAACACTCCTCTTTTGCTGCAACCCAACTTGTGAATCAGGTATGTCAGGACACTCAGGACTCTGATTTCTGCGTTCGAACTCTCAGTGCAGATCAACGATCAGGCAACGCCGACCTCAGGGGACTGGCTCGAATCGCATTGGAGTTAAGCTCCGCTCAGGCTAAGGGCACACAGGATCAAATTCAGACTCTACTTAGCCGGGNAGATTTCCAGAGACTCCCCATCTAACTCTTAACTTTGTCGGTGATTGGGGAGGCGAATAGTGGAGGGGTGAGATGAGTTTTCGTCAGGAGGCTGAGGGGAGTGTTTTTGTGGTGATGGGGAGTGTTGTCGTTGTCGGAAACATACCCTATTTGTCGATGTCGACGAAGGTGTTTGGGGTGTTTTTGCAAGATTTCAAATCTATATGGATTTACATGTGATTTTCAGGGGTATTTTGTTAGATTTCAATTTTTTGGACAACGGTGTTTAAACCGGTCAACCTAGGACCTGGCCACTTTGCTGGGTTTCACGGGTTTTAAAACACTAGTTGAAACTCATTGATTTCCCGATCTAGGCAGGCTCTAGTCATCGAAGACAGGACGCATGACATCATGCGCGATGGTAGCCAAACATTAGCGAGGTTACTTAAATTTGTTAACAAAACTAATACAATAAAACTATGCTTATTCACAATTTTACTAACCTCTTACTATTCTATGTAAATATAACGGCATAGTACGGGTATGCATGGTACCTATACTATGCCGTTATATTTACACAAGATAGTAAGAGGTTAGTAAGATTGTGAGTACGCGTAACATTATTCAAACTAATATATATTTGCTACCAAATTCAAAAGCTATTATCCCGAATGCATATACTAATATCTCTTTAGAGATAACCAAGTCATCTAGTTTGCGAGTCTAATGTCTAAAATTAATCTGAATTTGGAACTTGGTAAAAGAATATGAGTTGCCATTCCTACTTTGGCTCTGCACAATGTGATAATATTGCGAGGATTATGCATTAAACGGCAAGATCATCTAACTTCAATGGTTTTAACTAGTGCCAGATTGCGCACACAATAACACTTTCCGAATTTGAAGCCATTAATTTTGTAACCATATATGAAATGATCACCAATCACTATTATCATATAAAATTTATTCAACTTTTCTGAATCCCTTAATCAAAATGGCCATTGAAAATCACCATTTCCTGTTTCTTGTTTCACAACTTGTTATCATTCCCCTCTTGTTTCAACACTCCTCTTTTGCTGCAACCCAACTTGTGAATCAGGTATGTCAGGACACTCAGGACTCTGATTTCTGCGTTCGAACTCTCAGTGCAGATCAACGATCAGGCAACGCCGACCTCAGGGGACTGGCTCGAATCGCATTGGAGTTAAGCTCCGCTCAGGCTAAGGGCACACAGGATCAAATTCAGACTCTACTTAGCCGGGAACCGGGGCTGGATTTCAAGAGTGTTCTTGATCATTGTACTATAAATTATGCAGGGTCAGTTTATGCATTACAACAAGGACTTCAAAGTTTGGATGCTAATGATTATTCCAATGCAAATGAAATGGCTCAGGTTGGCTGGGAAAATGGAAACGACTGTGAGCGTGTGAATAGTGGAAGTGTCAAAGATGTATCACTTACAGGTTCCAATCAAATAATGGTGAAACTTTGTGATATCTCTAGGGTTGTCACTGCAAAACTTGAAACTGGTAAATAAGTTGTTGTTACAATAAGAGCATGTTATTGTATGAGAGAGTTCCATGAAGCTCCCTTGTGTTCTTCTCCTTGAAACACATAATCTTTTCTAGTTGTGAAACAAATATAATAAAGGAAAAAATGTTGATTATATATATATATATATGTTATTAAGAAAACCAGTATTAGACAATTAATACTACATGTACAAATCCTGATTGAAATCAATACTGTATCCAAATTGATTGGTGTTTATAAAAAAAGGTAATAGATATTCAATACATGTTAATGAATGATATGTCAATAAAAAAGTTATAAGGCTTTCTCAAAATACACTAGAACGTTTGTAGTTTTGAGTAAACGATTTTTTTCCACCTAGGGTTTGCCTTAATGAAACTTTCCCACCTTAAAAGTTTCAGAATACTAATTTTTCACCCGAAGTTAATATTCTGTTTTTACCTAAAGCCAATTTCAGCCGATTCCGATGATGAAAATTCTCTTCGTCATCACCATTTGAACATTTAGTATCCTCTCTATAAAAACCCTTTCACTTTGACACTTGATTTCTCGTCGATTGTCGACCATCGTAAAGTTAGTGTTTCCTGTTTTTATTTGATTTTCGGTTGATTTTGGCGGTAAATATTTAATCGGTCACCACCATCAAATCCACCGGCTTTCACTCTATAAAACTCATCTTATCCTGACTTTTGATAACTCATTGAATGTCAGTTGAAAAAATGAAGTGTATTTTGAGTATTTACGAGATATAAACTTTAGGTGAGCAAGTGTTGTAAAAATTATTTGGCTTGGAAAGTGTTGTTAAGGCAAACCTTGGGTGGGAAAAAAGTCATTTACTCTTGTAATGTTTATCCAAATTTTACATACTTAAAATGTGTCCTAATAGCATTTAGCAATTATTGAAAATTTGTAAAGAAGAGATTGATCCCATTTGTAAAAGCTACATGATTCATATTTCAAAATCAAATGAGTAGAGTGGGCACTAACTTTATATTAATTCCTTTTCAATGTGGGACTCATTATGTTTTTTAATTTAGCAGGCCCTTTTGGTCATAAGATATCTTGTCAACTGGGTCCTGGGGGCTTGCTATCAAGGTTTTATAAAGTCTATAGTTTCATCAGCAATAATTGTGGTTGTGGGGTAACTTTGTTTTGTTAATAAAACTAAGGGTGTATTAGTCTTAACCCTAAGGTTTGGCTCAAGTTCAGTTTAGGCCAAACAATTGGAAGTTCTGGTCAAACGGTAAACAATTTTGGCTTGGGAATTATACAATTGTTGAAAGTAAAAGTGGTCAGTCATTGACCAAAACCGCCAACAGTTTACACAAAATATCTTGGGTTGTGTTTTGCTTATTGTATTTATCCATATTTTCAATCCTATTCTTCAAATGTTGTTTGGCACGTTATTTCCAAAATATTAGTCTATTTTTTAATTACTTTTAGACCCCATAAGTTTATTAATCTCATAAATACCCCCCAGAAAAAAGTTTAAAAACTAACAGAAACACCCCCATCCACAATACTTGCCAGATTCTGGCAATCACCGCCGGTGGTAGCCGGAATCTGTCACAACAGTCACACGACCACTGAAAATGGCCGGTAATGGCCAGATCTGGCCTTTTCCTGCCAAATCTGCCATGGATCTGGCCGGAAAAGGCCAGATCTAACGGCCAAAAAAATGGTCGGCGTTGACTGTCAACGACGACCAAATCTTGGCTATCGTTGATATACAATGACGGCCATATCTTTGGCCGTCACTGACGGCCAAAGTTGGCCTTTTCCAATCGTCGAAGGCCACATCCGGCCTTAGATTTGGCCTTTTCCGGCCAGATTTGTGGTGGATATGGCTGGACAAGGCTATATCGATCGAATACCCGCCAGATTCGATCAGATTTTGTAGTTATCTAATTTTTCGGCCAGATTTCGGCGGTGGTGGCCGAAATCAAGCACTTTGAGTGTTAGTGGTGTTTTTGTCATTTTACAATATTTTAATATATTGGGGTGTTTATTAAATTAGCAAATCTTGGGGGTTTTTTCATAAATTTTTAAATTTTATCTCGTAATACTCTCATACTCAACCATCCAATACTATCTCCAAAATCATACCCAAAATAATAAACCAAATGCACCCTTATCTATCCTTTACACCGTTATATTTAACTAATATAATCTCTATTTTTAAGGGTGTCAGTGTTAGTTTCCCAAAGTTAGAGGGGAAGAACTTTTTCGTACTAAACTTCAGGGGGAAAATGTGGGGCCATAAAAAATATTAGCCACTAATAATGCTGGTAGTTCGTTAAATATTATATTAAGTGCCTGTTCTTTTATGCTTTTTTAAAAAAACTTTGAAAAGCAACTATGTAAATAGGTCCAAATTCCAGGCATTGGTTGATACAAATTCTTTGATGCTTTTTGGCTATGGGGTTTCTGTCTTTTTCTTCATGCATACATATACTCCATTGGTCATCCTTTTCCTTTTATGGGAGCTGCTTCCTAAAAAAATCAGCTAATCTGATGCAACATGACAAGAATAAAGTTAAATGTTGACAGTGACTTGGAAAGAAAATATCAATCCCTTAAAAGCTGTTAATCAACGATGCTTCATGTGATCAAAAACTTATAAATTTTTCGTTTCCTCACCTAATTGTTTAGGTATGTATATGAATGGCTAGGAAATGTAAGACTTCGAACAAAACTTCCATGGCTGGTTAACTTCAAGGAATGAGCCAATTGTGAAAGGTTACTTAATATGGGACATAAAGGAAAATGGAGTTTCAACGTATGACTTAGTTTTCAACTACCCTTCTCTGATTAGATGTGTTTGATTAAATTATACCTCGATATAACCACCTTGACTTATTTGTTTAGGTTTCGCTGTTTCTGACCATTTTATAAGAATTTGTAATGAGTTTACTTGTGATGACAGAATAGGTCACAAACTGGTGAGAATTGAGATCATCAAATCTTGAAGAAGAAACATGGGTGATTTAGCAGAAGAAGAACAACAGTTGCCATTAGTTGGAAGCTTGTCTTCACCTGATGCATCAGAAGAGTCTATTGAAAGAACTGGTAATTAATCTTTTCTTAACTCTTTCTGTTTTGGCTTCAATTTCTTAAATTAGTTAAGGCAGAACTCGGTCTTCTGCTTTCTATCAGAAACTAGCTGGCTTGTGATTAAAATTCCCAGGTTTTAACTTCTTCAGTTACCATCCCAGAACAAGGCTTTCTGATAGTTTTGTATCTTTGTTTAGATTAAGATTAGTCTTGAGCTATATGACTATGGACACTTCTGACAGAATCAAAAAGAATTTAAAGAGTTTCCACCTCATACTAGGACATTTTACATTCCTAAAACTTGCTGGAAGACTTGATTCCAGGATCCAAATTCAGGCGATTTCGCTAGCTACAGGGCTGAATTTTTCAATCGACTGCATAAACTTCATCATCATTAATCGCTAAGAAAATTATTCAGTTTTATTAATCTCATGAAATTTGTTTCCCTTGTCTCATTTCTGCCTAACTCATAATCTAAATATTGACTCTTCTGTTGGAGTTGTCGACTGCTTCATTATTAATGGGTTATATAAACGGTTTGGGTCTTTTCTATATATAACTACTATAGGATTTCTTTAAGTCATTAATTCCTTATTGGGTTTGGGCTTAGGAATAGGAATCCTTGTAAAACTAGGTTTTATCAATTTAAACTTAGTATAAACATATTTTTCTCTTGTTATGAGTGTGATAACAATTATAGGACAATTCATTTATCGTAAACGAGAGAGGTGAGGAAGTATTGCATTAATATTGACTCGGATAGACGTAACCCATATTGGGTGAACCAGGGTAAATCGGCGGTGTTATTTTCTCTTTGTTTATTGTCTGTGATTTGTTTTATTGTTATTTTGTTCTCCTTAGTATCTCTATTTAGTTCATCTTTATCATTTAATTCCAACCAAACTTTACAGTTGCATCTCATTTGTTTTTCTTGAAGGGACCATATGGACTGCCGTGGCACATATTATAACAGGAGTGATAGGAGCTGGAGTGCTATCTCTAGCATGGAGCACAGCTCAACTAGGATGGATTGCAGGTCCATTATGCATACTAGCCTTTGCTGGTGTCACTGTTGTTTCTTCTACCCTTCTTGCTGATTGCCATCGATACCCAGATTCTGAATTTGGTCACATCAGAAGCAGGTCCTACACCCAAGCTGTGAAATTTTATTTAGGTGAGAAGCTACAATCAATATTGAGCCATGACTTGACTCTATTATATATAATAACTTGCAACTTACTTGACATTTTAGAACTCTATAATATGTGTTCCCAATTAGTATAAATAAGCAACTGATTTTTGCATAAACAAAAGAAATATAAATGCCATTCTCAGCTATCCCATTCCTCTCAGAGTCACATGTGAATAGAAGAATCAATAATTTACTATTATATATGCCCATGTGCAGGATCATAATTTCTCATAACAGAGACAAAACATGTGAATCATTGGTACTTGGACAAATAATTATATAATATAATTGATATTGTCAGGGGAGAAGAGCAAAAGGATATGTGCAGTATTGGCACAAGAAAGCTTATGGGGTACTGGAATTACCTATACCATTACAACTGCTACAAGCATAAGGTATGAAACTTGATCCCTTCTGCAATTTCTAACTCTTCTTCTATGTAAATCATTAAACTCTTTAAATTGTGCTGTTATGTTCCTCTTTTTGTACATTTTGTCTAGATTTCATTGGTGTTACATGCATGAGGGGACCTCAGCTTTAGGCCTTCTGAAATTTTCATTAATCTTAGATTCTTAGCTTACATTGCTGCAGAGAAGTGTGTATGCCATTGTTTGCTTGACATGATTTTGTTGTTCTGGCCCTGGAATTGTGCTATTTTAGCTACTTTATTTTAGGTGATTTGGCAAGAAAGAAACAAAAACGATATATTTGAAGATAAAGGTGATATCGATATATTTGTCTTAAAAAATGGTATGATATGATATATGTGGTAGAGTTTGTACCTAAAAACCCACTTGGTGTTAGGCCCTTTCTAGATAAGATCATCATGGACTTGATATGCCAAATTTCTGGTTTCTTATAGTCAA